CCACAATATTACAAAGTGTCAGTCAGTAATCAGTATTTCGATAGAAAAGCTGGTTTTTGAGACTTTACTAGATATAGACAAACTGCCAATCCAGTACCTATGAAGGCTTAGAAAAGAAACTGGAAATTGGAAGATAAGGCGAAAATAATACCAAGAGCCTTTCTTTAACACTTGAAAACCAGGTTTGGAGTGCCTAAAACAATGACAGTTTGCAGAAGACCACAATCTAAGCCAGGGATTTTCAAAAACTCTTCGAAGTTCTTTGGATCACACACAACCCACTGCACAACATGTCACTCTCAACCAAGTGAGGTGAAAGGATGCCCTAATCGACAATCAAAGACTGCACTCTAACCCCAACCACCGGACAGAATTCTTACCGGTGAAAATGTTTGGTATCTGAACATTAGCGAAAATTGAAGCCAACTGTCTCGCTGTCGAAACAGTCTTCGGAAGCACACTGGGACAACCTGCTACGTCTAGTATATATCCAGAGGTTGTAACTTTGATTCTTTTCCTACTTTCAGTGGGAATCTAAATAAGGGATGACAATAATTAAATTCTTTTGAGTTAGAATCATTATGACATATTATAAAAGTATCTTAAGTATAGCTTCATAAATCAGCAATTTACCGATTGTTGGTGTCAGTAGTCCGTTTTCCGAACCAATAACTAAATCTACCGCTGTCATCAGTTACAATCTTAGAAATCATCACAACCTAGCTGCTATGAAGCATTGTCGGACTTACATGCGGTACAACTTCTTAAATAAGTTTTCAGTCATCTGGAATAGACTACCATCTGATGTGCGTGATGCAAACACACTCCCACTGTTCATCTCCTCAGTCACCAGACTGCTCAAAGATGACAATGCACTTCTGCCTCTGACTCTTACACCCTCTTTTTCACCCTACATAGAAATTCAAGTTCGTTAAACGTGTAAGTTACAACAAACTACAATTATAAATTATAATATTATTGGAAGTACATGATAAACATTTCTACACAGGACAATAATATTAGGTCACACAATATAAAAGTTAGCATAACGGGACTAATTAGTTAGTCCACCAAAATAACCATAGTTACTAAACAGAATGTAAATTATATATACATATTAATCTGACTTTTTGAATGAGAATGAAGAATGTAGATATTTGACCACTCACAATGATAAATGACCCGCAAAAATTATTGGTCCCATATCTTTCAGTTGCCTCGTGAATTACGCATTACCTTCCCCACGACGCAACCTGGATTACAGTTGTGGAATATACCTTTATGCCAATGAAAAAGTATTGGTTTATAATACTTTAAAGCATAATTGATCGTGCCTGTAAAAACAGCTTGCATTTCTTGTAAACTATCATTATTATTAGTCTACATTGAGTACAATTCACTTGTGATGTTGCGACGGAAATGCTGACAAAACTATACGAGTGTATTACTTATTTTAAATTATTACAGAATTTGGATATAAATCAAGAATAGAACTCGATGCCATACACGCCAAAGTTATATGGAGGAATGACTTCAAGCTTTATTTTTTCCCAAGTACTTGTAGTCCATCCAACACATACTTGGGTTTTTTGTTAATGCGAAGATATTATTTATGTATTTCTTGGTGTGCTCCATTGAATGACTAGTTATCACACTGTTCCCACAAACCAAAGACAAAAACGGCAGCAACCATGTAATTTAACCACAAACCAAATTTATGTAATTTAAATAATACTTACTCATGCCTGTACAATTGGTGTGTCCTACACAGGTAGGAAAAAATGTGTATTTTATTAAACTATCATTATTAAATATGCTTACTAATTGTATCAATTGTTTATCATAATGATGATGCCTGTAAACTGGGGTTCCTCGGTACAAAAATGGGAATATATTATTATTAAAGAAGGACAATAGGAAAACCGGTGGTAGTTCCATGCTTATTTCTGTAGGTACCGTTGTTGAAGGTGAATTTCACATTGAATATGCATCTCAGAAACAACTCTTATAAATATGGGTTTGGAGTCCAGACTCTTGCAATCTATATCCTTGCACACACACAGAAGGCAACAGGAAAGGACTGGACATACTCTGTGGGGTTATTCAAAGCACGCAATGCACCTGGTAGGCCAAAGAACATGACCCGAATAGACGAAGGAATGGGTGTAGATCTGGGGGTAAAGTGGGGGGGAGACCATTTGAAGAGGAAAGAAGGATTGTGGCACCATTTGAAAGTGGCATCAGATAACAGAACGCAGAGTAGAAGATCAACGCGGAATCCAAGGGACAAATAATAATGCTAGAAGCTCGCAAAAAGGAAATCACAACCTGCAGAAGAACCGATCTTTTGGATACACATTTGTGAACAACTATTCAGTGAAGCTAACTAGCTGCCAACGTGATGATGCCCATTATGGGTGTGGATTCGCTGGACAGCTATGCCTAGGTTTGATAAGCACACCAAGGCCACATCATTACAGTGCTAGTAGTGCACAACCCTTCTATGAATGTAACCCGTCGTTGAAAGAAGTGAAACTTAACCTTGGGGAACTCGCCAACCAATCACAGTAAATACGATTCGCAGATAAATGGCTCGACTTTCTGAAAAACGGTCACAAGCAGTACAGAATAATCTTCAGCAAGAAAACAACCAATCATAAGTAGTTACTTCTCTGCGAACAATAACGAATACTGATGTAAACAAAAATCTATAGATATCTGTTGGTTTTCTCAATAAACTTTCCATTGCCTGGTCTTTGTCTTCTTTCGGTACATCCTGTAGGACCGCACAGCATTTTGTTAAAATCTTAGTAAAAATGTCCTCGAGTTCACGTGGTGATTAATGGATATACTTGCACAACCAAAAATGTTAATTGTGGAAGAGATTGCACATTATGATTGATGGAAATTTAGTTAGTCCAGTGATATCAGTAGGTGGTTTTAATTAATCACTTGCTAAGTAATTAAGAATAGGTCAGGAACAAACAGGTATTACAGTAGACAAGCCGTACACCTGATATGAGTGGTACAGCTGGACATATCCGGCATGTTGGTTGAAATTTCGTTCGGTAAATTTTTTGTCAACAAGTTTTAGTAAAATTTTGTTGTGTTTTCTGGATTGATAGGAATTCTCATTTCCTAACTAGTCATGTTGGTGTCTGGGTCATGCGATCCGACTACGGCACACTCTTAGCATATTGGTTGCAATGATTAGTGTTTCAGGCGGACTGTGTCAAAATATAGCTATAATGAGCAAGACGGGATATTTGGAGGGCAATATCATCTGCACAAATAGTTTACCTTATGTAGAAGCTGCAGCTTTCAACATAGGATCATTCAATGAAGACTTAATAACATGGCCGACTAACATGGACGAAAATATCCTTCAGGTGTCTGATTCTTCAAGTGACCTTGAGCGTGCGGGATAATTTCCGTCCAAAAATGTCGAGCGTCCAGCACCACCCACGTCAATTAAGCTGGAGTTTTAGGAGTTTTATGCCCCAGAATCACAGAAATTTCGGTGGTTGGGATCATGGCGACCTCATTCGTAGTATTTAATGCTCCAGTAAGAGACGTTAGCATGAAAGCCATACCATTATCAATAAAAGAATAAAAAAGTACGACAAAATACAAATCCCGTGAAGCAAGATGTAATACAAATGTTCGTGAATATGGGCTCCATATTAGCGTCCAATGAGTTACAGTATCAATAATATTAGCCCATCGGGTTCTTATTGGAAAATGCGGTCTCAGAAGCACATCTCCATTTCACCTTGTTCTATACAGTCATCCTCAACTGTCTTCACGATTGCCCATGATCTCTTATCTCCTCCTCACACAAATTCCCCCTGTCAGCCCTCATCCCACACAAAACTCATAGTTTTACATCCAGATTTAACTCAGGTACATGGCCGGCGATATCACTCCGCTATCGCCTCAGCGCGTGTACTATCAATCTCCATCTCTCCTGGCATATTTGTTGGGCAACAGATCTTTGGTTATTTCGTCACCAGGTGTGGTTATGGAGAGTTCCCTCAGGTCATCCGATCTTAGCACAGAGCCAGCCATTTCGGCTACTGATCAAAGTCTGTAGCGTACTCGATATGATTTTTGTAAAATATGGAAACACTGTCTGGTTTGAAAAACTGAGTTTCGTTTATTATGCTGAGTGCAGTACAGGAGACATCCAGGCTAATTTCACATCAATAAAGGTTCGTATTGTCTTTTAGATCCTGGCTTCCGCATCTTCATCTACGCCACCCATAGTTGCAACGATGTTGCATGGGTAAGTGAATGAAGTGACCTTCAATTTCCCCTCGTCGATAGTGATTGCTGCTTGTTGTTGGCTAAGTGTTTTCCTATAGTAACTTGGAGTCCTCTCTCTGCTGTTTCTTCTGCCAACTTTCGGTGTCCGCCCGTAGATCATTAGGCTTGTATTACGTTGAATATAAACCATACGGAAAGTCCAGATATTCTTAAGTCTTCCCGTCGTCTCCTGGTACTCTCGTCTTCTCGCTCCTTACTCCCTGCTACATGACCCGCTCCTCTGTAGTCAGGATTATCATCAATGACAATGGGTAGTCTTATGTTATTCTTGTATTCATTTCAATAAGTTTCCCATTGTGGATCAATTGACTTATGGCATTATCATGTAGCTGCAGATTGAAGTTAACATTGATTTGAGGCACTTCACTCCATAGTGTTGAAGTAGTTTCCATATTATTTCGCGGTCAGTGCTATCGAAGGCCATTTTAAAATCGATGAGGTGACGATCTGACTGCCATTCTCTGCTCTGTTCGATGATGATACGTATCATTGCAATCTGGTCCGCACATGATTTACTTTTCCTGAATCCAGCTTGTTCCAGGCAGAGATTTGCATCTGCAGCACCTTTTAGTCTTTGGAGAATTAGGCGTCCTAATATTCTGATTGCTGTGTACAAGATTCCGCGCTTGGTAAGTTTCACTTGCCAAGGAACAAGGAACACGTTCATTGAATATTGTAACGCGCTTACTTTAGAGAATACGGTACAATTAAGTAGCGTGTCTCTGCGGTGGTGATACTTTATGTAAGTTTATTGGATGAGTGGTGGGGCGGAAAAATGATCAGTTATCGTGATTCTTTGTAATAATTTCATTCTTTGCATTTCAGCAATTAGATATTTAATAGCAGGTCATATCGAAAAAGCTGTGCGTTCCAGTGTAATCACATCCAGTCGTTTCCTTCCTATCAATGAAGAGATTCAGTAAAAAGGACTGGAAGCCATGTGAGCTCAAACCAATTGAAAAGGAAGTTTCGAAGCCTATTCCGGGTGTACCTATTCATTTCAATTACGGAATATTTTTCGATGACGATTATGACTACATGCAACATCTGAAATCCGCCTCCGATACCAGAGAAGGTTATGTAAGTTTTATCTCACTAAATGCCTACTTCGCTTATACATGGTTCACATGAGCATGACCCTGGCATCATTTATTGTTAGTACTAAATTATCAGTGATGTCGTGATTCATAAACGAGCGGCATAGGTTAGTGGGTGTATGCTAATCCTCGCATTATTCAGTACGGTGGATACTTTCTAAGGACCTTGCAAAAGATGAAAAAAGTGGTTCCTTCCGTAGAAAACCCCACACTGGTAATTCAATAGTCGAAGCCGACTAGAAAACAAAGATTCTTCGACTTTTGGTTTTGTACTTTGAGCGAAGAGCCGCAGATTGTTATTTCTTGCGAAGGTGAAATAGAGATAATGTATACCATTTACGTATACATGTTTATATATTAGCTCGCTAGGTTTTTATTGCATTCCACTAACTGATTTCATCTCCCGAAGAATTGACAGTAATTCATCCCATTGTGTAGTTTTCTCATACGTTTCTTCGCCTATTGCTTGTGTTCAGTAGCACATGATACTCTAACTGGAACAGATGAATCTATTTATTATACGTCGAAGTGTCACATTTCAATCACAGATGATGTTATTCGCAAGGTGCATTACCAGTTTTAACGGTTGCTTAGGTCACGCATTTGGATTTAGCTGTTGCCTCTAATGTATTCGAAGTTACTTATTATGCATAGGTTTGTGTAATCATGGGTGTCATATGGTACTACTCTGTGGTTTGTGACGAAGTAAACGTCATTAGGCGTGTTGTGTAGTCCATTAATTGAAGATCAGCTGCTAAGTGACCATAGCACTAGACTGGTGTGGTTAAGAAGTGTTGCTTGCAAAAGAGAGACACTTAGACCATATATATATATATATATAAAGCAAACTCCTGCTTTTGTGGGTTAGTAACTGTTAATCTTAGACATCAGGAAGATATATTGTATGAAACAGAAAGTATGATTACTTGAAACTTTCTACTATAATCATATGCAGTATTATAACGAATTAAAGGGCTTCAGACTATTCTTAAAAGTTATTTACATTTAAAGAGTTCTACTAATGTATTTTTCATTTATACTTCAAGTATTTCTGGGTTTACTTCATAAATCAGCTAGTAAAAATGTCTAAGTCTCGATAAATGTTTTTGAGAATGATCATGTTACAAATTCACGCTTTGGATTGGTTTGTTTGGAAAATTAAAATATTTTTCCCTCAAAAATGTTTAAGACTTATCTTTTATCGACAATTTTATTATACTGAACTAGAATGTTTCAGAATATTGAACACTTGGTATTTTTGTCCTCAGACTATATCAGTAATACCCGAGGATTGCCCAGAAGATGATTGTAATCCACCTGAATCACCAGAATTGCGTGAACCAGAAGTTGATTACGACGAACATGCTGTAAGCGATCTTAACATGGACTCAGATGCAGAATCTATTGACATGGAAAGTGAAATAGAAGATAACTTCGTGGAACTCGCAGGTGGACACGCAGTAAAAGATTCAGAGACTGAATCTGAAGAGGGAGAGAATTCCAAAGCAGCTGAGAATAATAAACCTGTCGTAGACGAAAAACCAATAGAAACAGATATGTCAAAACTGTCAAGAGATAAAGTCTCACTCATGGAACGTTTCTTGTACGGTACCAACGAACGTTCAGCGAACACTTCAAGTTCTTGTCCTCCTGACAATTCATCCGATGATGACTATCCAGATGATGCAACTATTATGAATAAAGAGTTTGAAAAGGTAATTTAAATTAAGTATATTAAATTTCCAGCTTGTATTGCAATACAAAACTCGATCAACCTGTGGGCAGTCTATGGTTTCTGGATCATCAGTAATGAGTGAAGGTTTAATGTATGCCCTTAGTCGTGATATTGCTATCGCTAAACGGTGAGTTGGTACTTTTCTTTAATAGCAACAACAATTGCGAACTTTTAAATGTAAGGAAAAGTAGTTAGATTAAGTAAACAGCCATTAGTAGTTGTGACTGGTGAAATTAGCAACTGGCGATATTTATGAAAAACATGAGTCACTGAATTTTAATCAAGTAAACATTTTGGATTATTAATTTTACTATTGATGGATTCGCAGAAGTGCTGTAACGGCAGAACACGGTAGTATCTGGCAGCAGAATAGTTTATTTGTCAAAATGATGTGCAGTTATGACTAAATGCAGAAACCTGATATATTGAAATTTTGATTTGCACATATTATCGGCATTGCGCTTCTTCCGTCTTCCTTGCATATTTTGTATATCTTTTCACAAGAAACTCTTATTTCTCTTAGCAATTTAATCCGTCGCTCCGCTATTCTAGATTCTTGCAGGAAATATCACACACAATGTACTACTTACAAAATCTTATCAATGGCACATGCCACAGTCCCACTAAGAATGTCGCGTTAAATAAAGTCGCACTGGTAAAATAAGAAGTTTTAACTCATACCGACTGTGTCTGTCCAAGTAAATGACTCATTTTTCGATAACCAACTGCCTAGACACTTAGACACTCAAATAATGCCTAAATCAATCAATCAATCAGCTGAGATAAGCCAATTGTAGAATGTCAGTATGTTTGGTCGTTTTCTAAAACCTCTTTTTTCCTTTGAAGGAGCTCTAAACAGAATGATGAAGATCTAGATGATGAACTAAAAGCTATAACAATTAAGAAGAGCTACGAATTAATTGGAAACGAACAAGAAGATACAGAAAGTGACCATTCTTCTGAGGAGCAAGGAAGTTCTAGAAACACGGTTATTTCAGATTTCAATGGTAAATTATTGTTTTACTATAAATTCATCAGTCCTCATCATTTACTGCTATATCGATATTGCTTAAGGTTTAATTTTGGCAAAGAAAAGCTAAGATACACGAGCCGTTCGATGCGTTAAGCCAAACAAATTGTGATATTGGGGTATTAGCTACTTATATGTAGGTCAGAGTATTTAAGAACGCGCGTTTTAGTAATGCAGAAATATGAAAAGAATAACAGTGATTGCAAAACGAATTGGTTATGTTACTTAATGTGCGGCCATGTAACTATTAGGGAGCATACTTATTGTACATTGGTAGTATTCTTCTGGCTCCGCTATTATTAGATGTATCTGTTAGGTTTTGATGACATGATGTCGTCGGGTTTGAAAAGCACAGCAACATTTATGCTAATTGTAGGGTGCCATATAAATGAAGCAAGTCAGCCAAACATACATGAGCCACATAACACGCGTCATACATGCCGAGTCATCGTTTATTAAGGCATTGAGTTTTATCCAGTGCAAAACCAAACTGAGAGTAACAAAATCAGTTAGTAATATCGACTGACACACAACAGATGTAAGTCATTGCTAAGTGTGTTTGCACGTGTGTGTTTGTTAGGTAATATTTTATCAGTCGAAACAGCTAATTAAAATGACTTTCCAGTATTGGTTTGTAGAGATTTGGTTGATTGGTTACAGGATTTCATCATGAGCTAACATCGGCTAGAGAACCATTGGAAAACCCGCAGGGAGTACTGGACAGCCGTTTCGTCCTAGTTTGGGACTCTTCATCAGTACGCACGCACCGGGGTTCGGACCCAGGAACTTCTGGTTACAAGGCCAGCAAACTGTAGACCATTAAGCCATTGGAACCCGATCCAATGACCAGTCCATGAATCCTAACTTCTGATAATTTGCGGTCGCCAGCCAATGTCTTCGGCGACTATTTGTCCTCACACCCGACCTGCTGCACCCTACTGGTTACGACTTCCCACTATTATGACTTTGTCTGTTACATCTTCCGTGAAAAATGACTTATTATTAGTTAACATACAAATCGTCGAATCAGTTACCAAATACGGTATAAAATAACATTGGATTGAATTAACTACAGTAAGCAAGTATTGAGTCGGTGAGGGATTTACAACAATCAGTCCACTGATTGTGCCCCATTTATAGACCAATAACAATCACTTGATCTTTGATAATATCTACTGCTGGCGAAAAATATGCTTTTTGTCGCAAAAGTATTGTCGGCATACATTGAACCAGTTTCGTATTTACGTATACGTTAAGAATATTAATTTCCTCAGCTAAAATGTTGATGTGTATCGTTACATCCCCCTTCACTCATTCCGATCTAGTAGTTGTAAAAGTGATAGACGCAAATTAAAGTCCTTGTTATTGCTTGTTTTCTTCATTATTACCGTTTTTAACCTAACACAATATTAAGAAATGGATAATGTTTGAGGCACAGTTTATTGCTGATGATTATATCAAAGAATTTACAGTTTCCAAAACTGTTTTATATAGTTCTTTTTTTCATATAATCGAATCTTTTATGTGACATGCCACTACTAGCTCGGTGTGATTATGAGTGACTGAGTGTACTCGAAACATGGTCCTATTAATAATAATAATAATGTATACTACTACTTGTAACATCACATCATGCTGCTCACCCTCTACTGTTATATTACAGGCATGAACTAAAGAATGAGTTTCATTCTCTGAGATATTTTGTTTACTAATATTAAATTGTGAATCTCACTGTAGTGTAAGCACTGGTGGGTTAAACCCGCCGTCCAGACTTGCTGCAGAGTATCTTGCGCTATATTCTGTTACAGGATTGCCCTCCTTGTGACCTGGTGACGAACTGTTTTTTTAGAAATTTCTCAGCACTGAACTTCTGTGTAGTAAAATACAGGGCGTAAACCGTGTTTAATCCACTAAATCAAATTTCCCGTTGTGAACTAGTCGCCCACCTCATTCAATAACCTGACTGTACTTGATTTGGAATTCCCGCTTACTGATTCTCTGAAAACTAGGGAAGCGGCTGTTATCCATCCGCAACACTTCAGTCATAAATGAATGATCACCGGAAAAATAACCTCATACTGTGAAGATGCAGGAAGCAAGACTTATTCATCCAAGAAAAATGAAACTGAGCAGAAAATACGATCAATTATATATTTATATTCCGTAACTGATAACTTCTAGGATCAATGTGAACAAGCTGTGATGTGATTCCATATCAGATAAGTTTATTTGATGTAATACACCATGATACTACAGTATTAATAACTGGATGACGTTTCAAGCACAGTTTATTGCTCATAGGCATATCAATTTAGTCACACGACTGACTTCATAATATGCTCCACATGTTTTCCTCTTTCCCCCTTTTTATTTTGAATGGAATTTTCCATGTATCCAGGATAGGCATTGCATTATTTCGATTACACGTGTTTGGTGTTGATTCGATGAACAAAGATTCAGTGATTAGTCTCTCTTTCTCTCTCTCCCCATCTAACTATATTATGTTTCACTACTTGTACCCTGTCTCACCATATTGTGTGACTATATGAAAGTGAATGCATTGCAATGACCCGGAGTTTATCTAGATTATTTGACTTAGCAGGGTGAATTATTCTAGGTCTAGGAAAGTCTCTGTCCCGATAATCTAACTGACACCGATCTGCTAGTCTGTCATATGTACAGTTGATCTCACTTTCAGTCATCACATAATATTTGGTAAATTGTTTTTCAGAATTGGACCTATTAGGTCCTCAAGCTGACAATGTCGATCTCTGAGTGAATTGCTTTGTCTAAATGTCACCCTAATTCTAGTTTTATTCAGAATTCTATGCAAGCCTTCTGATTTTTCTTCCTTATGTGGCAGTAATATTGAGGCTTTAAATACCTCATCATAACTTCATTATTTACATAACTACCCTCGTTTTACTCATAGGTCTTCACACTTTTTTCAGTAAAATCTGGTTGATAGTTATTCACTATTAATTTTCCCCCTATTTGTTTGATTTCATTATTTAAATCTTCTGAATTATTAACTAGACTCCTGAACCAATTATACAGACATCGAGCTAAACCCTATCTTTACGGATTCTGGCTAGTATGAATTAAAGCCCAAGTATTTATTAGAATGTACCAGTTTCTTATAAACTCTAGTATCTTACCCACCATCTTGTTTACTTTTTAGCTAGACCAAAAATGATAGACACTGGATATAATCAGACTATAGTAAAATAGATCGCGTCGGTGGTATAGCGGTTAGGACGCTCGCCGACCATGCACATGGTCCGGGGTTCGATCCCCCGCCGACGCATTCCTTTACCTCGCTAGGCCAGAAATAATGCTGGTGAAGAGGGAAAGTTTGGCATGAGGCTAGCGACCCCATCCTTAAAAATAAACACTGCTATAGAAACTTCAAGCCACTAGCTTGAAGCCCTATGTTCCAATGGGGAACGTGAAGGAAAAAAATGGTAAAATAGGGTAAAAGTAGAAAAATACAGTATAGTTAGATGGGGAGAGAGAGAAAGAGAGACTAATCACTGAATCTTTGTTCATCGAATCAACACCAAACACGTGTAATCGAAATAATGCAATGCCTATCCTGGATACACGGAAAATTCCATTCAAAATAACAAGGGGGAAAGAGGAAAACATGTGGAGCATATTATGAAGTCAGTCGTGTGACTAAATTGATATGATTATGAGCAATAGACTGTGCTTGAAACGTCATCTAGTAATCAATACTGTAGTATCATGGTGTATTATACCAAATAAACTTATCTAATATGGATTTATACTCTATCACAGTGACCAAATTCTGCTCTTAACACTAAATTGATGTGACTGGTTGGCAGGTTACAAATAAAAACTCCAATGACAACAGTGAATTTGGATTCAGTATGAATATTTGTTCCACGGTGTACACACACAGAAAACACAAACTAATAATGTCTCCTGTCCGTCCTTTATAGACTTATAACAGAATCCATCAGTTATCGAGTTAATTGTTCCATACATCACATCCTCCATCAGTGTTGAATCAAAAATGTATGGTTTCTGTATATTTTACTTATAACTTAAAAATCAGTGCATTTGTTCAATGAACTTAGCTACAGATCATCATTACCTAAGTCTTCGAATGTCATTCGTAGTCTATTAATTACCTTATATTATATTATACATTTATTTCCTGATAGGTAAATCCAGCAGTAGTGCAACTCGTTACAACCATTTACGTATGCCAAAGTCGGGCAAAGGCAAGAAAAAGTCATCCGAGAAAAGTGATATTGGTAGTACCATGGAGATTGCAGAACCACTAGATCCAGCTTTAATAGTAAGAAATAAAAATGAATCTGCAGACGACAGACGCGCTCGTAAGGCTGCTATCAAGCAATATCGTCAGATACGACGACAAATTCGTAAAGCTAATCAAATGAATTTCCGTCAGGAGAAAGAAAGACAACAACGAAATAGTACTCAGACAATGCCAGTTTATTAGTTGTGATTATTGTGATATAACAAAACTTCACATGCATCGGAAAATTTGTTCAATCAAATCACTTCTGTAAATTCTTTTTATTACTTATTGAAAAGGTATAATCTGCAAATAAAAACAACTCTATTAAATAAGAAGATTAAAGGTTTTCTCAACAACAAAATTGTACCTTTGTCATAATTTCAAATTACCCACATCAATGTATAACTGTTACGTCTGCGAGTTAATGGTACGGTCTATTAAGCATATCGGAAAATGAAAAAAGTTAGAATTCGTAATCAAGTAATTTGAGATAGATTAGGAAAACTGTTGAATTACCTTCAATACTGCAAAGTTCTGAAATCAAATATAGCAGGTGTATGGAGAAAGAAAGCAAATAGTTATCGAGTATTTCGATGAGATGGAGTAAATATATCAAATACTCATATAGTTAGTTGACATTGAAATCTATCATTTGTTCATTCAACCACTCCAATTTAATTGTCAAAATACGACTCGATAGATCATTCTTGGCGTGCAGCCTACATCCATTAGAAAAACATTTTAGGGTTTCGACATTTTATGGTCGAAAAAACTGTCCTTTCTCAACATTTACATCACAGCAAAGTAATTTTCGGTGCAATTCAGCTCGGGTAGTTGGCAGAAAAACACCTGAGTTTTTGAAGGCGAACGAAACTACTTCATAAGACTGGCTAACTGGTTAGGTTTCATGATTACTAGCCCGTAAGTCGCAGGTTCGCGTTCAAATAAATTTGATGTGAATCGGTACGTATTTCCTCAAAGGCGTTCCACAAATACTGCACAGTGAAACACTGCAATATGAGAATAGCGAGGGTGGATTAAAAGCGCGTGTTTCAGGACTGCAGAATTTCACTAAGTCACTTAGCTGGTTCGGATATTAATAACGATAATCAATTCCAATTTACTTAATTCCCCCGACCAGTTCTGCGAACTGGTAGAGACCAAGAATCATATACCGTCTGTAAGTTTTGCAGAGCTATGAATAGTGCATGAAAGGGAATTTAGGAGTGTTTTTATCGAAGGCAGCTGTAGGATAGCCTAATTTTCTCTGCTTCCTCAACTAGCATTTTTTGTAGCCACTCCTACCGTCATTAATATTTATACTACCGCCGACTGACTCATTGTGGATTAAGTACATTGCGTCATAGCCTGAAATACTAAGGTGCAACACAAAAAACGATCTAGTCTTTGCAGTCACTCTTCAAACAATTCTGTTTTTGAGCTCAAAAGTGAGTTGCAGTGTTGAAAATTTGTTATGAGCATCTTGATATCAGATATATAGGCCGGCTTAGAACCCTATGCAAAAATGTATTAGTTCAAGTGGCTGCACTTTGAATGACTTAACATGAAAGAAAAGATCAGATGTAAGACTGATCCTGTAACAGACAAAGATGACTGCAAGACTGCATCAATTCACATGGTGGAATGTCTACGACCAAATATTCATAGGACACGATTTGTCATCAGAAGACTCGATTGCAGAACTTCTATTGTTTCACGCTTTCTCTTTGATAGGTAGACGGATATGACATTTTCATAAATATGAGGAGAGATAGTGGTCGTCAGCATCTAAGTCACTAGCTTTCTTACTACTTCAGAATAAGCTGACGGATTTTATCACTAAAATCCCCGTTCTTAAGCTAAGGCGCCGTAAAGCCATGTAAGGGCTTATGGGGAATTATCATCTGAATTGATAACAACCAGTGGTGTCCGTCAAGGATGTCCACTTTCCCCTTTTCTGTTTAACTTCATCATAGATATGCTAATGGAAGTATCCTTAACTGAACTTAACAACTTAGGAATCGACTTGTTACCAGGGAATAGTCTTGTGGACTTAGAATATGCAGACGACATAGTCCTGTTGGGGGAGGACGCTGACAAAATGCAGAGTCTTCTGAACACCTTGAGCAGCAATCTTCGTATGTTTGGCATGCGATTCGCCCCTGTAAAATGTAAGATGCTGCTACATGACTGGACCACGTCATCTAGCTTAGTGATAGAACATGTTGACCACTTCACCTATTTGGGAAGTTGTATCAGCACCAACGGACTGATTAGTGACGAAATCTCAGCACGGATCCAGAAGGCTCGGGCAGCTTTCGCTTACTTACACCGTCTCTGGCGTAGGCGTGACATCCGGCTGTCAACCAAGGGACGTGTGTACTGCTCAGCAATTCGCTCCGTCCTTCTCTATGGCGGTGAGACGTGGCCATTGAGAGCGGAAGACATGAAGAGATTGTCTGTTTTTGACCACAGATGTTTACGATCTCTTTCTCGCGTTAGGTGGCATAACAAGGTAAGTAATGTTGACGTTAGCCATAGAGTGTTGGGCAAAGAGGGAAAATCAATCGAAGAGGCTATAAAGTTACATAGATTGAGATGGCTAGGTCACTTGCTGCGCATGTCTAACCATCGCCTCCCCCGACGGGCATTACTAGCTGATATAGGTGCAGGTTGGGAAAGAGTAAGTGGTGGCCAAACAAAAACATGGCATCAGTCCATGAAATCCTTGACGGTTAAACTGAGTCAGGTAGGGAGATTCAGACTTCCGGGTTGGGGCCCGCCCTCGGGACTCTAAGAATCAATGGCTGGAGACAATAGGTGACATGGCTCAAAATCGTTGTCAATGGCTTACGCAGATGTATTCAGTCTCTTTAACCTTCATATTCCTTTCTACCATTACTCATTGTGTTTCACTCTTATACTTGTCAAAACTCTATTGATTCTCTTCACTCATCTTCTTGTCTACCTTTGTGTGCTCTTTCGAACGTGGCAACTGGAACTGCTGCACTTCGGTGCCAAGTTCTATGTTGAACCCAGCCAGCCAAAGCCCACTGGTGCAGCATCATCTTACACTTGACATGGTAAAACATTCGGACTTTGGAGCACTGGGTTCAGGAAATCGTACATCGTCTGTACACTTTAAGTCAAATAGTTCCCTTACAGGTAAGGAGTCGATAGCTGAGACTTCAAATTCACAAAGGATCACCAGTATAAAAGTCTATAGATTTTCACGTGTTTCTGGGGGTTTCAGCAGAGTGATTCGACTAGCCAAATTCTTTTTCGACATCACCGATGATGAAGTATTTTTGCAGATTTACCATGTCAGCCAAGTTGAAACTGTGATCTTGGGAGACTAAGAATGTTGACAGTTCTATAAACTGACATGAACGCAGCACAAATCAGTGCTTCTAATCATATTATTGTAGCCAAACATAGTTTCCCAATCTGCTTTACACAGATCTATTCCTTCTTACTTTTCTCTGGTGGAACTCACTATTCGTCCACAGAAAGACAGAATACTAACTATCCATACAACCATTCATCTACATACATGGAATCCCCCGTCTAACAGATTCATACCTAACCCCACTCAAAAACATTAGGGAAATTATTTAGTAACACTAAGAGGATGTGCGTGTTATGATTGGTAAGTATAGTGGAGATATTTCAAGTAATTATGTGTGAAGTACAAATTTACCGAGTAAATATTTGTGTCGACTTTTTTATTCCTCGCCTAATCTAATACTAGTGTGGTGAGAGCTGTCTGCAAGCCAAAATTATGGACAACAGTTTATGTCCCGAATGGGGTCGTGAGAAAAACAATAACAAAGCTTAACCTTGAGGAACTCACCAACCAATCACAGCGGACTTAACGTTTTCAAATACGATTTGCAGATATATGGCTTAACTTTCTAAGAAACAGCCAGAAAGAGATGACAGAATAACTTTCAGCAAGAAAACAAGCAATCAGAAGACGTTGCTTCTCTGCTAACAATAACGAATAATAATGTACATAAAAACCTATAAATATCGCTTGATTTCCTCAATAAACGATCTGTTTCCTGACCCTTGTCTTCTGTCGTTACACTAGTATGACCAGTAAAATTGCAGTAAATATGAGACAGACTTTAGGACGTCATGAGCCCTAAGTTAGTTACATACAATGTCGAACATATACTGGAATACTAACATTACAGCGGCAGTATATGTGCACATGCTACTGATCCTTAGAGTAGAAATATATAACTCGTTATACCATACGTAAAGACAAAAGGAAGGCGAAAATTAACTTTTATTTCTGTATATAGCTGATAGATAAATACTAAAATAACTTGAACACAAATAATCTTGGAATACCTGAATATTTGAAAATAATAAGTGATAAAATTTAGCAGTTATCATACAGTAGGACAGACTATTGTTGGTTCGTTTAGGCTGCTGCCTTTCTCATACGCGCATGATGTACATTGACACTGACCACATCTTTCAATCGAATTTACAGTGCAAAGCTTTTGGTTAACTTCCTTTGGTTTGCAGGATTGTGTTGCTTCGAATGATATGTTGTTTAGGTAATGATTTGCAATTTCTGATGAAAACCTTGTTTGATTTGAATTCGGACAGTTTATGTTCAAAGAATAGTCAGAATAGTTGTTCATACTCATATATGCCATAGCCAAGACAAACACAATCTGAAAATGAAACAATCACGATTGAGATGATCGTTTGATAAGCAACAGAAGTGATTGAATTTAAGAGCTTAACAAATATAAAAACAAGTATAAAAATGCGAGTACCAGGTATTGTGTTAGTATCGTAGACAACAAGACTGGTGAGGAAAGCAGAGACGTTCGTTCATTAAAACAAATTACTTTCAACGTTTTGTTGCTCAGTGGATGGTGACTAACGGTGGAATCCAGGATACACGTTTCGTCCTATTATCTAGGACTCATCGTCTGGATGCACCTGCACTGACAGTGTTCCCACTGAGACTTGAACCTAGCACCCGTTGCTTCAAGCGCTAAAACATTATTCATTGGGCTACAAGAGCCAAACCCTTTGCAATGGGTACCAGTTATTATTTGCTCTTGGGTACATTTCTGTATTTTCCGTAGGTTGATTATGTTGGCCTGAAATTCTCGGTCTCCATTGATATGTCGGCTGGCAGGACGGACGATTTGATGATGTCCTACTGACACACAAGAAGTGGCTCTCGTAACCTAATGGATAGTGCTTTAGCATTTGAAACGATTGGTGCAGGATCAGAGTCTCAGCAGGAACAACACCACTTACTGAGAATGCAGATATATTGAGTTGACGAGTGCCAAATAGGACGAAATGCACATCCACTGTTAGTCCCCATTCACCAAAATTACTTCAAGTTAATCCACAAACAACGTCGAAGCGTCCGTACTAATACCCAACGTGTCAACAGAGCCCGAATGTTTCGGGTCCAACACAATCAATCAATGGGAAATACAAAAACTGACCTGCAGTTCCTAAGGATGTGAGGAAGCTACAAATTTTCTAACAGTGCATCTTCAGAGTAATTTTCAAGATAGATGTCGAGTGTTGAACAAGAAAAGCCAATGAGAATACAGACTGTCATCAGAATGTTTTCCACAAGTAAAGCATCTTTATAGGATATTTCATTGATCAGCTTTAACCTCAAAGGAGTCTCGACATGTATTACTAAGTTCCAACTTAGTCTTACCTCTACTAATAAAGCCTATCGTGTTTAATTACAAACATACACCCGAAAACAGACACTGGCGGTCTACAGTTTTCTAGACTGACTTACACATCATACCCATACACCAAACTTCGAATTCCTTTACTTTGTTTAGCTGCATGCGAGCGAATACTACACTAGATATTCCATATTATACACATATATACATGCACAGCACTGGCAGTTCAGTGGTAGAATCCTCACCAACCAGACACGTTGAACGAGTTCAATCTCCTGCCGAAGCATTCATTAACCTGGTTTACCTGGTAGCAAGCATGGCAGGGAGGGAAGGATGGGCGTGAAGCTAGCAACCCCACTCCGTAAAAAATTAAACACTAGTCCTAATAAAGCTTCAATGCTCAAGCTTGAAGCCCTATGTTCCACTCGGAACGCACAGGAATAATATATATATAAATTCATATAATTATGAACAAGTGTTCGAAACGTCATCCAGCAAATAAAAATGTTTCATTGTGTTATATATTTAATAACCATATTAAAATGCAATGAGCAGACATGGAAATTAAAAATTTTAGCCTAGTATAAATCTCTGACTCTTAAAACAGTAAATTTA